GGGATCCGTTTACTCAACCCGCCCCACCTTCCTCTTAATCTTGGTCGTTGATCTCAAATGATCAACAACCCGAAATAAAACATTCACTCTCCTTATAACCCTACCCCAAAACCCTAGAGACCATTCTCTTTTCTCTACCCGCCCTCACACGATCTCATCTTCTATGAACCCTAGCTGTCTTACCCCCCCAAAATCTCTCTGAATCCGGTTATATTATGGTGTCTTACGATCTACTTACCTTATTTACACTACCGTACTACTACTCACATGCTCTTGATTACTTAGTACTCGCCCTAATTTTGGCAAGTATCACCATTCCATATTGGACCCGTTCAACTTTAATTTTCAAGATTGGGATGATATCTCGTCCATATACACGGAAAATGGGTTGATTCCCCACATCCACGGGTTGATTTTCAGTCGTTAAACCCTAACTAGGGTTAGAAATTCGATTTCTTCCTTTGGGGAATCTGTTAATGATTGCATGCAATATTTTCTTTCGTTATTTATTTTAATCGATTCTTTTCCTTGTTAGCCTAAATTCTAACTCTGATTTTAGCTTTTCTTAAGCATTTCTAGCCCAGTGTGTTTGTGTGTTTGAATGCTTACAGCTACCGCTTGCCTTGAGTTTATCTTCTACCTTGTTCTGGATTCTAGTGATAAACCAATTACCCACCTAGAATATGTCTTAATTCCTGTTAAATTGTTTGTATATAACTTAATGCTTTCCTAGAGTTGTCAATTGATCCTGTTGATTAGCCAAACATGCTTTCTTTCTACTTAACATGTTCTCCCCGATTTTTTCAACCCATCATTTCTTTACATTGCCTAAGACATTAGAAAAAGATGAAATATCTAGCCCCTTCTCCTATATATGATCGAGACCTAGTGTCCTGTTAATCTGGGATTGAATATATTTTCACCTATCGTAAGTTCTGATATTGTTTCTGAACTCTGGTATTGTAACTGATACTCAGCATGTTAAAGTTGTCTCATGAACCTGTTATGCTATGGTACTCTCACTAGGCTCTTATGTTAGACCTTCTATCGTATCCCCTACTTATGCTTTTCTATGACTCTGCTATGTTCTTATGTTAAGTCTTTTAACAAAAGCCTTGACTAATTCTAGATCATGATGTATGCTTGATTCCTGAAACTTGGCATTGTATGTAGTTATCCTAAGTAGATAGGCCTATGAAGCTTGTAGTGTTTAACTGTGCTTAGCATGCTACACCCATTCTTTTTGTGAATAACTGTTCACGTGTGAACTTGTGTTGTCTCCTGTGTAAAACTCCCCTTTGTTGAAGATGAGTCCTCCTGACTTCCCTAGTTTTTCCATGTTTTTGACCCAATCAATTATGTCGCCTTGCAATGTTTTACACGAATCCAACTAATTGTCATATAATCCTGTCTCTATGAAGTAATGCTTCAGGTTTGTTTTATATGCCTGCCATTAACATGTTTGGTCAAGAGGATGATCTGTAAATTGTTGGATTGGCACGAGCTTATGTGTGACCTTTGGGTTGTGCAAGTGAATGTACTCTCCTGTTTAGGATATGTTTGGGTATGGGCCTGCTATTCATGTTAAAGAAGTTTGCTAAAGGCCCAGTCAGTATACGGTTGCTTAGTTTGGGTCTGTTTCCAAGCCTGCAATTGTTCTTTTTTGTAATGTTTGTAATTGTGGTCATTAACGATCCTGTAATAATCTGTAACAACGAATAATGGGGAGATTAATGGAAAAAAGGGCTGGGATGCTTTAAGTTTCGCATGAATGGGTGGATAACATGCTTATAGGGTCTACCTGCTTGTTTGCTACTTTGTTTGATGTGCCTATTTTTATACACCATAGAGATCATGCCTATAGGAATTCAAACACTTCACCTACTCAACTTGTCTAAAGCCCACACATTACTATAAGCATGAGTTTAAGTGCTTTACTTTTTCACGTTTCTACTTCTATGCGTTATTAGATAGAATGCCTATAGGAATCAATCATCAATATCTATGCGCTCAATTTGTGCAACTGCAGTGTGCTTATTAGATAGCATGCCTATTGGATCTTATTAATATATGCCTTTGCCAATACTCATCTAGATACCATGTCTATAGGGCTTTAATTGATTAACTAATCGACTACTTCTGTTGCTTTCATTACATTATCTCGCCTAGAAGACATGCCTATAGGAATAAAGTGTTGTAAAAGCAAGAATAATGGTCAATTGTTAAGAATCCTGCATATAAGGCGATGTCACTCGCATAAGACTTTTTATGGGATCAACAAGGTTGTTTCACTGCTCAGTTGTGCAATTACTAGAAATCACGCCTATAGGACAGTGTGGCATGCCTAAAATGCCTATTTATAAAAACAGCGCTAATAATTTTGGGTTTGCAAACAGTTTACTACCTCCTCTCCTAAGCCATTTAGAACAATAACGTTGTATGTACGATATTGGAATGTAGAATCACCTAGAAACCATGCCTATAGGACTCTAAGTCTCAATTATGAAACTATGTACTGCCTAAACTGCCCGCGTGCATTTGTTATTTATGTGTGGAGGCTAACTTGGGCCTTTAATTGTCTTTATGTGAAGTCCTATCTGGTTTGAATGTCGCTTAGTTTTATCATTTTGAGCAACCTAAGTTGAGTCCAGAACCACCTAATAGTAGGTCCAAAGCCTCTTGGACCATAAGCATGGGACGGGTGGTGCACGCATAGGATATTGTTTAGAATTAAATTAAAGCACCTTTAAGTAAAAACTTCAACATAATAATTGAGTTAGCATGAGATTATAGTCCGTGACCGCTGAATAATATGAGCAATCCCCTATCTTAAGGGAGTTGCGAAGCATTATTTATGTTGCACGGGGTGATCCTTTAGGTTAAAGAACTTAGGACCCCTCCCCCCCCCCCCCCTTCTTTACATACTTGTTATTTACACTTAGTATACCAATGTATTTGTAACCTTGTAATCATTAAAGATTTGTACCAATTCCCAATGTGTTACGATAAGACTCTTCGACTTCTATATTTTCCTTTATTTATTTGATCACCTAGCCTAATTACATAATCCACATAGTTCAAAGTTCGGCCGGGACCCACAGTTGTGGACCTCGAAGAGTGCCTAACACCTTCTCTTTGAGGTAATTTGAGCCCTTACCCGGTCTTTGGTGATGTAGACTAGTCAAATAGAGTTATCTGCAAATAGGTGCCCTAGCGCACCTTAAAAATCATTAAGTGGCGACTCTTCTCTTTTAGTACCTCCTTTAAAAGAGTTGTCACATGTTGAAACCCGCTTTGGCGAGAAAAGGGGGCGCGACAACAAGATTAATATTAAGATTAGCAATTGAAATCGAAGAAGATAGCGAGCCTGGCTCCGAACGCAGTGTCTCCGAGAGCAAAAGTGAAAATAACGATAAAGTACAAATAAAATTGTTAAATTGAAAGCAAAAGTAGTAAAATAAAGCTTTTGTATGTAGAAAGTTTGATCCCCTTAAAATGGATGATGAGCCTGCTATTTATAGCTTTACATAGAGAAAGAAGATCCTAGGATCAAGCTCCTCTTAAATGATAATAAAGGAGTCATTGATGAATATGTAACGGCACGCCATGAATTCAAATATTCTCTGCAATAGTCGCTCATTTAATGTTAGTGAATATTCCCACATTGAATGCTATCTGATGCAAACCCTTGAGCTTCTCCCGTCGACTACGCTCCCTTCGGAGTCTATCCGGTACCGACCACACTCGTTGTATCATTATCGGTTGTTCCCCGACTCGTCCTTTGCCTATCTTCGGTTCCAGATGTCACGTCACCATTTGACCACCTATTATCAACTAATTTTACACCATACAGGATCAACTTCAAACTTAATAAATCTGAAGTTAGAAAAATTCGAGTCTGAAGTTGCAATCTTAAGATGCCTTTAGAATTATTTTAGTTTAAAGTGCGGTTAACTTTTGCATGCACTTAAGACTTTTTTAGTTTGAAGTGCAAAATTGCACTTAAAACTTAATTGGTTTGAGGTATAACTAATTTTTGTATTCACTTAAGTTTTTTTTAGTTTGAAGTGCAAAATTGCACTTAAAACTTAATTGGTTTGAGGTACAACTAATTTTTGTATGCACCTAAGATTTTTTTAGTTTGAAGTGCAAAATTGCACTTAAAACTTAATTGGTTTGAGGCACAACTAATTTTTGTATGCACTTAAGATTTTTTTAGTTTGAAGTACAAATTGCTCAAAAACAGAAACTTGTTCGTCGAATTTTAATAATTCAACACGATTGAACACTCAAATTTATTTCAAATTAGCTCAAATAACTTTCAAATATTATAAAGAACAAATTCAAATTATCACTTTGTCAAAATAACAACAAATCTAACAAGTTGACTTTGCAACTAAGAGGAGGAAGAAGAATGATGAGGCGGAGGTGAAAAGGTCTAATTTTGCCTTGGGCGCGGATAATTAAGAGCCTATACAAAACTTGAGGGCAAGGCCTTGGATTGGCTTGACTACATCCAATGCAATAAACACAAACTCTTTTTTTTTTTATTTCTCACCCGGTATTCGGTACCCACATTGGGGCCCGACTAATCCGGATTCGCGCCGGAAAGTCCCACATTTGGGGGTAAAGCGCTCCCTAACAAAGGCGATTCCATGTCCAGGGGCTCGAACTCAAGACATCTGGTTAAGGATGAAGGAGTACTTACCACTCCACAACAACCCTTGTTAAACTCTTGTTACATTTCATTTCATGTATAACCAATTTAATTTATACACATTCATATGTTCATAAGTAATAGTATCTCTTAATTTTTCATTGTTCTAAGTTGAGATAATATCTTAGTAATAAAATATTTACGGGATTAACATATCGTATTCTTAATAAAAATAATCAAACCTTAGACTATTATTTGGGGCAAAATAGAACATGGACTTGTTACGCATTACACGTATGGTGCCCAATTCCTCCTAGCACTATATATATACATCCTACCAAATTCTCTGCCATCCGTGCCGAAACACTCCCTGCAACATTTAGGGCTTCTGTTTAATCTCAAACCTCTTTTGGCTTTTGCTCACAAATCAATCACAACAATTCTTACATCAAAACACATATGCAACCACCAAACGTATTCCAAATTGGTTCCAATTCAGTAATAGTAACAACCAGAATTTGAATATATTTGTTTGTTTCCGCTATTATCAAGTTCAGTATGATGATCTCTTCCCTCCTTCCGTCTTCGCCTGTGAATGCGATTAAGCTCATTAATCTTCGTGTTTTTGGGCCTGGTTTGAGTCCTTTTGCTCCGTACAACTTGGCTAATCATTCCTCTCGCTAAAGCCCTCCTCTTTTTTTGATATTTTCTTTTCTTGGTTCTTTTTTTTTCCATTCAATCATGTAAATTTGAAGAAATTGTTACCTTTTTGGGATCTTACTTACTCGAGATTCTTCTGGTTTTTTCGCGAAATTGAAAAAATAATACCAACTGCATTGGAAAGATTAGAACTTGTTGATTGTGAGGGAATTTTTGGTATTTCGTGTAAAGGTTTCTACCTTGGAGTTTGGTTTAATTAAGGGGAAAATAAGAAGAAAGGAAAATGCAAGGAGGAGGATTGAGGTATAGGAGGTTGGATATGAGTGGAGGTGATATGGATGATCGAGGTTGGACTCCTCTTCATATTGTTGCTCGTAAAGGTGATCTGAAAGAGGTACTCTTTTACCTTTTTATTTTATTTTTTATTTTTTATGTTGTATCTTTCATTATGTTTTATAGTGTTTAGTGTTATTTGTGTGTTAGATGTATGAGCTTATTTTTTGTTGCTTGTGCTACTGGACGATTTATTTTGTACATACAAATACTAGGACATGTTAATTATTTACGGATTTTTAGTTAATTTTATAGTAGGAACTTGGCAAGAAGAAGAGACAAAAGCGAAGTATATCTGCATTTATCATAGAGTATTCACCAAGATGGCAGCTTAGGGAAAAAGAACATACAATGTTGGAATTTATGTACTTCTCTGAATTAGAATCAGTTATGCTAAACCTCAGCTTATGCTGGCATGCTCATTTTCAATGTCAAACATTATTAGTAGGAAGTATTTCCAAATGCGGAAGGAAACCACTGATTTAATTCCATTTTCCTAGAGGAAACTACATATTATAATTTAGAAATTGTGAGGTATTGTGGATAAGATTGAACCCCTAAGATAAAGAAATTTTAGTGCTCCCTCTGTCCAATTTATGTGATACTTTTTGCTTTTCGAGATTCAAACTTCTTAATTTTGACCGAGTATTTGGACATAGAATCTTTTAAGTTTTTCGAAATAAAATTTATATATTTGGAAACTACATAAAAAGTACTATAAGCCACAATAATTAATAATTCAAAATATTCATATGAAATGGTCAAAGAATAATTCGTCTGAATCTCCAACTTGGATCACCATCACATAAACTGGGACGGAATGAGTAGGTTGCAGTAGGTACACTCGATTTCCGGTCGTGATAGTATCTCATTGAAGAGTATAGCTTTTTCTTTAATTTACTATCAGCTCATCTTTTAATGTAATTGGTAATGTGTTACCCCTGGATGTGTTGCAGTGATCTATGGGTAGCAAGGAAGTAAGCATCAATTTGTTTACTTTGTCTGTTTCCCAGGCTTCCTTTTTCTAAATTTTATTTGTTTCACTAGTGAACGCGAGATGCTTTGCGCACCGGGCTGCCCTTTTTTTATTTGTTTCATTTTTCTCTTAATAAAGTAACCTATGCTATAAGAATTTCTTATTCATGTGCATTTCCGAGAGATCCCTACCTTTTGAACCTTTTCTTCTCATTGCAATATACTCCCCGTGCTTTTCCATTGGTTATGTTATGCTGATTGTTTTTGCCGTGCTTTTGAACCTTTTTGTTTTATCAACAGGTCAAGAGACTTCTTAGTGAAGGCATGGATGCAAATGTGACTGCAGGGGGGCCTAAATCACTTGGTGTCACTCCACTCCATCTTGCTGCTAAGGGTGGTCACCTCCGAGTTATGGATGAATTGCTTGAGAGAGGTGCCGATATTGACGCACGAACTAAGGGTGTCTGTGGATGTAAGTACCTACATTCATGTAAAGCAGCTTTTCCCCTATTATCAGTTTCAAAATCAAAGTTGGTCACCATTACCCCTATTTTCTTTCAATTTTTTTGTTTGTTTCAGGGACTCCACTCCATCATGCAGCTAAAGAACGAAAGAGGAAAGCAATCAGATTCTTGATTAAAAATGGTGCATTCTTGCCGGATAACATACATGATACCAGGTTCAATCCTCCACTCCACTATTGTCCTGGTCTCGAATGGGCTTACGAGGAGATGAAGCTGCTACAACTAGAGGGTTCATCATCTGGTGAGGCCTCTTACAGCTCGGGAAGCTGAAGTGCAATGGTAGCATTTGTTATTCGTTGCATGTTCCACGAGGAAGAAATGTTGATAGCATAGATATGCAACAGTTGGATTTGGAGTCTTGAATATATGGTTTTTTTTGGTCGATTGCGTGCATTACTAGTTACTAAGTAGACTACTGTTTGACCAAATTATCGAGATCTTTTTGGTTAAATCAATCAGAAAAGAATGAAGAGGTAAATCTTAGTCAAACATAATAACCTCCGGATACATAAACAAATCAGAAAATAATGCATAAGATGAAATAGGAGTGGTCAATCTTATTGATATTTGTCATTTCTTCTTTTGTTAATCGATGGAGATGACTGTTTTTCATCCTCCATGGAAGATTTCTTTGCCTTCCTTTTGCTATGAAGATTACAGAGGAAAGGGAAGAGAGAGAAAAAGACCCCCCCCCCCCCCCTCTCTCCCTTTTTATGAAAAATTCCTTCCCTATATATAGTTATGGAACCCTCACTATGGGTCAATACACTTTCACCCCACGTCCGCTTTCGTCATTCCCTGAGTATCGGTCTTTGTCATGGCGGGTATTGTGAGTACGGGGTTTTGGAGCAAACCATGTCGTCTTCCACTATCTCGTCGCTTGGACGGGATCTCGGTTAGGCCGACCGCAGCGGTCAGATTTTGACCAATACAGTTAGTCCCTCCGTCTACCGGGGTCGTCTCTTGTCGGGCCTGGTAGGCAGATTATGATCGTTACATATCTAAGAGAAATCTGACTACCTACCCCTTGGGTATGGTCTTTAGATTCTAGTAATGTGACGGCGTCTTTTTGATATCCTTGAACCATTACGGCCGTTTCGAAACAAAAGCATCGTTTATCTTGAAGCGTTGTTTATGGTTACCTGCCATTATGACACACGTTCCTAGGGGATTGAACCGTTTCATGCCCTATCAACTTCAATTGGCGACTCTTGGGTTTCGTGCTTGGAAAATTTATGTCTCTTATAAATAAGACTGCACCATTCGATTTGACACATTTTTTGTTGCCTTTACTTGAGAGAACTTTGCGAATCCTTTTTTTTTCCCTCCCGGTATCTCGGATTTTTGATTTTCTCCAGTTAGCCAGGAATCTTTCCTTTTCTTTGTCCTTTTGCTTTATCAAATTGATTCAAATGGCTGGCGATTCTTCTCGCGCTGACCTCTCTGCCACAACTCCGGCGCCGGAAAATGATATTTTGGCCACTGGAGGAGCAGAAGTGGTAGAAGATGAAGAGGTCCCGTCGGTGGCTGAGATCTTGCCTTGCCTTGGGAAAGCGTGGAGCGATTTCCACAGTCCCGCCGAGGAGGAGCCGGAACCTGCTCCCTCCGTCATAACCGAGGAGGGGATCAGCAGAATTGAAAGCTAGGTGAGGAATCCCTCGCCACGTTGAAATACTAACGGCGGTGGGGGACGACATAGTTCATTTTGACCGCCCGGGGTATTGCGCGTTCTACGCCTACCCCTTTATTGTTGGATACACGCTTCCTCTCCCTCTCTTGGTGGTAGATTTCTGCCGCTTTTACGAGGTATGCCCAGCGCAACTTTCGCCGTACCTGTATAAATTGTTCCTCATGCTGCTCAAGTTTGCGGAGCTTGCTGGTCGTGAGATCACTTTGTGGCATATGCTTAATATTTTCGCCCCCCAACTCATTCGTGGCACAAAGATTCACATGCGCCACCGAGGGTTGAAGAGTCTGGTGGTGAAGATGGACGACAGAGCCAACCGCCGCTTCTACGAGAATTACTTTTATGTGCGGACCGAACACCTTGTGGCGGATCCTACGGGGTTCCCTGAGAAATGGAACTTCGCCCGTAAGTTTCTATGTTTTTTGTCGGAATGATGTTTGACTGCTTTCTTTTGGGTAGTACTAAACTGTGTTTTTAATAGCCGTCAAAGGCTACCCCCGTGTCACCTGTTGACGGTATCTCTTGTACGTTTTGACGTGAGTTTTTTTTCCAAGTATGGATATAGGTCGAGGTGACTACTACTTTGTAAAATTATTTACATGTGTTAATACAAAGATGTTTAATTACACAATAAAAACATAAAAAATAATAACATAATTTAATAGTTCAACTTTAGTTATAATGTGATAGGCACAAAAAAATTACCTAAATGGCACTTTTGTCCAATGTTAAATTTATTTTTAATAGGGCAAAAAATGGTAAATAATATATTCACCTGGACATTCGTGCTTTTACGTGCGAATCTCGCAATGTATCCCATTTTAATATATTAAGAGGATTTTAAAAAATTAATATAAATATATATAAAGATTTAGATTAAATAGTATCAAAAACATATATTTTTATATAAAAAAAATTAATTTGATTTTAAAGTTTTTAAGTATTAATTGCTTTCTATTTAAACTTCAAATAAGATTAGAGTTCATAAGCAAAATTTTGTATGTATTGGTGTTTTGTTCTTTTATAATATTCCATCGGACAACTTTAATTGATTTTTTGGCGTGTGGTTCATATATTTGATTTCTTTTATATATCAAGAAGGCATAATTTCTTTGTCCAAAGTTTCTCTGAGTAGTAAAGAGTCTTGAAGTATCTTATATTGAATGAACAAATTAAGGTTAATATGGTCAATTTTATTGTTAATTAATGCTAAAAAAGATGAATTTTTAATATATATATATATATATATATATAAATATCAGTTTCAAAAGTTATATGTGGACATCTATGAGGGAGTAGAGGTAGTTTGGAACAATAAAAATCTTTGAGCTAGATTGACATTAAATTGAACAATAATTGAAAACATATTTTGTTTAGTTTAAATTTAACTTAATGAAATATAAAGTCGACCAAATACTTTTAATTGGTAAATAACAACTCTTTGAAGCTCAAAAAAACAGTTCCTATGTAACGTTGTTATGATTTATTTTCACAAAATAAAAGATTAAACAAAACAGAAAAATATAAAATGTTCAAGTTAAGTGATTTCCTAAGTAGAAAGGAAATCTCAAACCACGTTAATTTAAGGTCTATCGGCTTTCCCCCAAATATTTAGAATAAGTATTAATGTAGTGGATCGTGTATATAAGGTAAACTCTTTATTGATTTTTAAATTTATTTTTTCAAGAGTTTTAAATAAGGAAAATATAATAATTAAGAATTTTAGTTGATGTGAAAGTCCTAAATATTAGGAAGATAAGTAAAAGACAATTTTATTCAATGTAAAACCTATTTTTAAAGGGTAAAAAAATGGGCGAACGACCATTTCGCTAAGGGCCTTCATGTTTTTTAATGCAGTATTTTGTGTCTAAGTTAGCCCCAAAGTCATTAAAGATGCCCTTAGATCAATTGCTTTCTTTGGTTATATATTAGAAAAGAAATATGTTATCCTCTTTTATAAGTATTCCTTTGTTTTCTATTTTACTACATCTCTTTTTAATTCTCTTAGAACAAAGTGTAAAAGATTCTCAAAGGAATTTAGTGATGCCTGCAGGACAAGAGACCAATAAAGATTCATTTGATCGATGGTTTCACGGAGCCAGTGACTCAAGACGCAACAAACGCTGGTTATGAAAAGGAATTCAGAGTTTTGTAACAGAATTATGTAAAGCAATTCCAAAGCGCTCTTCTCTTTTTTGGCTTATTTTGTAATTAGAAAATTTTAACCCTGGCTACAATGTCCAAGTAGTTAATAACAATGTGTTACCCAGTAAGGAGCCATGGCTATTCAAAGAAACCTTTACCAGCCCCTCTTCTTGCAAGGATTGGTGCTTATAGAATAACTCTATTTACAACTAGCAAAAAAAGGTCTAGGAAAGATTAAAACACAAGCATGCACGTTAATTTCAACCAAACAAAAAGTCTAGGGAGTATTTAAATGGTGAAAGGTAGAGGGCACCGACCCATTATCCATCAAGTTTCAAACCATGCTCCAAATGGCTATGAAAATTTCTCGGTTATCAAAATAAAAAGAGTTGATTTCAACCAGAATTACCTTTCCTAAGCCGCTCAAAGACCAACAATTCAATATCGAATAAACATAACGTACTTGCCCAAGTTCCACTTAGTTGTCTAACTGTGACACATGAAATGTTTACACCACAAGGTTTAACAAAACACAGATTCGTCAACAAATATCAGAGACAGTTAGTGTCCCTTTACTACCATATCAACTTAGAGTGAATACCACCATCACATTGTAGTTGTATTGGTCAAAATACGCCGCTATCGGTCGGCCTAACCGAGATCCCGTCCAAGCGACGAGTAGTGGAAGACGACATAACAAAAGAAAAATGACAAATATCAATAAGATTGGACCACCCCTATTTCATCTTATGCATTTTTTCTGATTTGTTTTATGGATCGGAGTTATTATGTTTGACTAAGATTTACCTCTTCATTCTTTTCTGATTGAATTTAACCAAAAAGATCTCGATAACTTTTGGTCAAACAATTTGGCGTCGTCTGTGGGATTTTCTTAGTAAAAAATCCTTATGTCTCCTCTAGATCAAAAATCGAAAAACATGCTCACCAGCCGAGAGGAACGGTAAGTGAACTTCACACGCCACATAGATCATGATGCATCATACAAGCAAAGTTGCAACCAACATCATCCCCCGCACGCCGGGCAGCCCATGGACCCAGTCAAAACAAGCCTAGCCCGCACAGGACAAAGGCACAAAAAGAAGGGAAAGAAAACCGAATACGGTTTACCAAACTCAGAAAACGCCATCCCCGTTCAACCATCAAAGCGCCAAGCAGAGCAAGTAACGCCGTCGATCCACCTTCGTTCACCAAGTCATCAGATCGGATAAGGAGGATATCATCCTAACCACCTTCTGCTGGTTGCCCAAACAAGAACGCAAGCGCCGCACGGGCGAGCGGGCAAGGAAACATCCCAACTGAAGAATGGGAAATTATTACGAAACTACCGAAATATCGTCCACCAGAAAAACCGACGCCTCGGAAGTGATACCCTTTAAAATGATACTTCCTCTCCCACACCAAAAAGATTTCCCAAGAAAAAGCCTTCCTGGGGACTTAAATATCGGGCCGACGAGGGGAACCCCCCAGTCAAAAGCGTAATTCATCGTCCATCCACCAAATGACATCTCAGACGGAAAGCAAAAAGGTTAGA